CAGAAATCTACTACCCATATATCCAAAATAGTATATTTTATATTCTATTGATATGTTGATATTAATCATATTCTATTGAAATGATATCTTGAATATAAATTCATGAAAATAAATTTGGTTTTGCATTTTTAGCTTAATTGTGCAAATATTCTGATGATGACAGATTACTCATATTTATTATGAGAATCAAGGGATCCTGCTTCTGGAAGGGACTGGTTTGCAGTCCCTTAAGCTAGCTCCTTAATTCAAAGAGGTTTATATATACCCTTCATCACTGGAGATGAGGAGCTATCTCTTTTGTGAAATGTATTTAGTAAAATACATTTTAGTTTGGTTGTTGTTGCTATCATTATTATCCATTACAATATTTAACGGTCCATTTCCCTAGTGTAGGTCTCTGACCCAGCTATTTTGGGTGATTCCATAGTAAAGAATATACCATTTGTGTAAAATATCTTCAGAATTTGAGCATTGTAAATATTATACCCATTCCCCCAGCTTTCTCTTTCATAAATAATGCAGTTCTATAAACCCCAGTTCTATAAAAAAAATCCAGTTCCTCATGGGTATCCTGAGGAATATGAGAGGATTATCTCATTCATTATTTTTAAAAGATTTATTTATTTATGCATACAAGAACTGGGGTACAGGCCAGAGCTATGGGATGTGAGAGGATTCACCAGAGATACAGTGGGGAACTTAACAGGCAGATTGACTGAAATACACTGCTGAGGGGAGCAGTGGGTGAGTCAGGAGAGGTCTGCTGCACCATGTGGGTAGCTCCCTGGCCAGGGATCGAACTTGTGCTGCAGTGGCTGTGGATAGCTTCATAGGTTGCGTCTTAACCCATTGAGTCACCAGGGAGGCCCCTGTCTCATTCATTCTTAAGAATTTATTGAAAGTCTCCTCTTGCCAATTAGGCTGTAGTTGGCTAATGAACCAGTCATATTTTTCCAAAAATTTCCTACAGGACATTTTCGCAAACTTTCCTAAAGTCAAGCTAGTTTTCATCAATTTATTTTCTGTGACTTACCAAACCTGCCGCTTTGCTATTATTTAAGAAGATAACCGTATATTACCAAGATAGAACAAGTTCTCTGTGAGGTCATATTGGTATTCATTCTAAAGCTACAAACACCTTCAAGTGTTAGAGTTACTTGATCCATTTTTTAGTCTTTTGGCATCTACTCGGTTCTCTGAATGTTATGTCAGAGTAGAGACTATTTTGTACCACTTACTTGGTATTGTCAAATGGGAAAAATCAGAGCTGGGCTATCAGAGAAGTAGGCCACAATCCATCACATGTCAGCATTAGTTCCTTCACAGTCCAGCACTAAGCCTGGCATGATGTAAACTTTCATTCGGTCAACCTGGGCAAGGTTCCCCTATTTATTGATTTGTAATATACCATTCAGGTTATTATAGTGAAATAATACATGATAGATAATAAAATGATTAGGAAAAAAAACAATCCACCACCTATAATTCTTCTGCTAGCATGATTAACATTTGACATACAAATTTCTAAGGGGCATGTGTGTATGAAATTATTTTGCAACTTGCTTTTTTCATTTTGCAACTTGCTTTTTTCATTTTTCTAAGGTAATAGACATCACATAACCATACAAACTCAATTTTTCAATAGTGAATCTCAGTTGCGTTATTTTTATTGTTTAATAACACTTTCCTAATTCCCTGAGTAAAAAAGAAACCTCCTTCACACATACCTCTCCTGTGATATTATCTCTTTTTAAATTTAAGTAGATTCCTTCCTTATTCTCTTAGTAACTGTGTTCTCTGAGAGAAACCTGTTCATATATCTCTTCATGATTTATCCTTAGTTCCCTAAATTTAAGCTGCATAATAAATATTTACTGAACAAATAAAAAATTAACTTTTGAATGGGAATTGAAATCCTGAACTTTGTTTTCTGATCTTAGTTCTCTGATTTCGTTGGTAACTCAGGTTTTCCAGGGACGGAAGGAAAATAAAGCAATTTCTCACTTACTTTGTATGAAGAAGTAATGTACCACACATTTGAAAAGAATCTCTTAATCTTAACCTTAATCTTAACCTTTTTTGGATGAAGCTTGATCTGCTGCACTGAAAAGTTTATTACTTTTTTAGAAGAAAAATACATCTCTATAAAACATTTAGAAAATACAAACTACCCTAACCAACCTATAATTTTAGTGTTCAAAAATAAACATCATTATTTTGATGTATGTCCTTCTGATCTATACATGTGAAATAGCATTTTAGATTTTCATCAAATTGGGATCATAACAAATTACCATTTATGATTGCTTTTTCTTATTAATGTAAACATCTTATGACAATAAATTTATGCTCAATGTTGATGGTTATATAGTTTTCTATTATGGTGATATACCATAGTTTATTTGATCTATCCTCCCTTATTGGAAGTTTAAGTTGTTATCTACCTCATATACTGCAAACAGCATTGTAACAAATACCCTGATTCTTATATCTTTGGGCATTTGTCAAGAAAATATCCTTTTTTTAAAAATTAAAGAATAGGTAAACTTATAGTGTCTTTTCCTTTCATTCCAAAATTAAAAGAAATGTAGGGTTTCCCCGGTGGCGCAGCATGTTGAGCGCAGTGCTGTGAAGCTGTCCGCAGCCTCTGCAGCATGGGTTCGATTCCTGGCTGGCTAGGGAGAAACCCACATGGCACAGCAGATCTCTCCTGTCGCGCCTGCTGCTCCCCTCAGCAGTGTATTTCAGTAGATCTGCCTGTTCTGCTCTCTGCTCTGTCTCTGGTGAATCCTCTCAACCTCCTGCGCCTCTGGCCTGTACCCCAGCTATTGTATAAATAAATAAATCTAAAAAATAAATGAATCTTTTTTTTAATTTTCTCAATTATTTATTTATTTATTTATTTTTAAATAATAAATTTTATTTTTATATTCCCCATACAATTGCAACCCCCCCAATTTGACCCCAATCCCTCTCCTCCCACCCCCCACCCCCAAAAAGTGTCTCTGGTTCATAGTTTTTTGTTGATTTTGATTTTCACTTTCTTATAGTTATTCATTTTCCTGGTCCCTTATTTAAGTTTTCTAGATTCCTGCTATGAGTGAGACCATCCGGTATTTTTCTTTTTCTTTCTGGCTTATTTTGCTGAGCATGATCCCTTCCAGCGCCATCCATGTTGCTGCAAAAAAAAAAAAAAAAAAAGAAATGTAGCTTGTTTGAATTTCTTCACTGTATGAAATGGCCCAAGATTAAAAAAAAAAGTTAAACTGGGGCATGTTACCCAGTTGATGATAATGGAATTACTTTCTCATATTGATTCTGGAAGACTTGTTTGGCCTCTGTTGATTTTCATGTAAATGAAAGAAATAAGAATTGAAATGTTTACATTTCCTAGAAGAAGTTGTTACCTAGCTAAATCTTTGTGTCTTTCATAAAACTATAGGAATATAGGCAGATTGATTTCTGTGATCTACTCTGTTCTCCAGTTTCCATTTTTGTTAAGTAGGAACAGTAGATATCACACTTCTTACACAGTGATGAGAGCAATGACTACTGGAACATTAGCCAAATCACCACGAATGGTTTTGAAAATAAGGGCAGTATCACAGCAATGCCCTTAGTTGCATCCATATTTGTGGACATCTTTTGTTATTCTTAACAAAAGCATTTCTGTTTGTCAAATGTTCTTTAATGCTAAGTAATGTTATGGCTCACTTTATTAGGTCAAACCCATTTACGAGATGGAAATTTTTGTAAGGGGATGACAAAAAGTCAAATGAGTGCTCAATGTGAAGTAGGACAACTAGTACTTGCAGCTCTTCTTGTATTCTTATACTGTACTAAGTCAGATAGCCTCCTTGACCTAAATTTCTTAATCTATATTTAAAAAGTCTTATATTTAGCAAGAGTTAATTAAGTGATAGGTTTTTTCTGAGCACCTTCCTCAATTGCATAAAATATATGTTATTTTATTTAATCTTCATAGAACAAACGAGACAAATGCCATGATTATCCTGCTTTGTAGATGGGAACATGAAACTACAGAAAGATAGTCTACTTGATCAACTTCAGGGGGTAGGAAAGAGGGGTAGGGGACTTCATGATCCCTTCTCTCTATAATTGTATGAAACTCTAGCTTCATCAGGTACCTTTGCGAAAAGAGAAAAATGAACTGTCTTCCATGTATACCACCCACCAAACACGCAGGTATCTGCATTTTAAAACTTTTTAATCCAGATGCTTTCCATTCTGTGTGCCCAGACTTTGCACTGGCATGGATTCCTTGTTTTGACACTGGTTAGGTCTAGGTGAAAAAAATCAGAAATTGCAGGAGTACTGTAGTTAAAACTATCATAGTTAAATCTCTTTAAAGAAAACCACACTCATTACTAGGTAAGATCTTTGAAAATCAAGATCACAGCATTTACCCATTTGGTGTCATTTTCACACTGGATTTTGAAAGAACTTCAGCAATCTGATTTAGTGTAGAGGAAGTGTTAGGCATTTTGGGAATGGGCAAGAAAAAAAAAGTTGCTACCATTTTTGCTTTAAATAAATCACTGTTAATTGGAGATTGTGGGATTTTACAATTGGGAAGTAGAAGAAAAGAGGGATCGTTTTTATTTTAAATAAATCAATGCTGTTAATTGACAGTTGGTCCTTTTCAAAAGCTGAGGGAAATAGGAGACTACTATTTAGTTTTGTCATGTAATACCAAATAATAGTAATTAAGTTTCGTTGATTAGACTTCTTCCCCAAATAACCTACTAAGAGGTAGTGGCTCAGGTCGTGGTGTAGAATTAAAAAAATAAAACACTGACAAAATAAGAAATTAGTAAAATTATCGTGTTAGAAATAAACCTATGAACACTTCTTGAATTGTCCCATAGCAATTTGGAATATTAAGATAAAAATGGTTGATCTTGTTGCTCATCACTTATATTTGCTAACTGGTACATAGTTGTGTAGTTATTGGTGTTTACTCTTCCTGTACACCACAGAATGATCCACAAAACTGTTACCAAAGAGGGAAGAATTCGGAGGCAAAAAAGAACCATGGTGAGCCCACACAGTTTGATCAGGAAGGTGAAAGATATCTGTGCCTTTGGCTAAAGAGTCAAGGTAAACAATGTATGGGGAATATAAAAATAAAATTTATTTGGAAAAAAATAAAGGCATTGCGGGATCTTTGGGGCCCTGTGGAAAAGACAGGGCCTCTGCTTTTTAGGTGTCATTGGGAAGATGTTCATGCACTTAGTAGTATTTTACTCAAATTTATCTATTTTAGAAAGAGGCTACATGAACCTTACTTGAGTCAGTGAGCTGATGGCCCAGAGAGCCAGAGCTTAGGTAGGTGAATTGTGGTGTAGTGGAGGAACCAAGGGGTGGGGCTTGGGTTTGCTGGACTCGAATGCTGGTGCTTTTGATTGCTGGCTGTGTCACCCAGCCAAGTCTCTTACCCAGTCTGTGCAAATTTTCTACTTATATAAAACACAGAGTTTGACATTGGATCCTGAAAGTGATCTCTGAAATCATTCCCCAATTTTGGATATTTTGGTCTCAGATAGTCTGGATATCCAGGACTGGGGATTTTGTTTGTTGTGGATGACTACGAACACAATAACTGAAAGAATAACTGTCCTGAGGCTTATATTTTATGTTACTGTAATGCTCAAGTGTTGTGGGGAGGGGTAGGGAGATCTATTGATATTAATGCTAACTTTTTTTAAAAGATAAATTTAGGGGGCCTCTCTGGTGGTACAAGTCGTTAAGTTGCAGCACTATGAAGCTATCTTCAGCCACTGAAGCATGAGTTCGATCCTCGGCCAGGAAGCTGACCCACATGGTGTAGCAGACCTCTCCTGTCTCACCCACTCTACCCCTCAGTAGTGCATTTCAGTCAATCTGCCTGTTCTGCTCCCCACTGTCTCTGGTGAATCCTCTTACCCCATACCTCTGGCCTGTACCCCAGTTCTTGTATGCATAAATAAATAAATCTTTAAAAAAAGATAAATTTAGTACATTTTATTCTTAAACTGATCTTATGTATGTATAAGCAGCACATATTCCTTGTCAACCAATTTGTTTTAGAACTTCAGTAGAAAGAAAGGCAATCAGTTGATATTGAGGTTGATTAGATATTCTGATAAAAAGGAGCTGCTTTATGTTCTTTATCTGGTTTTAGAGCCATCAAGAAATGAAGTGATGCTAGTATAATCCTATAAATAAACTTCTCAATATTTGGTTCCATGAAATATGATTCTTAGTCATTTACCTTTAGCCTTAACCTTTGCACCATTGGAATTAAGGAATTTATAATATTCAGAAAATAGAATCCTTTCTACAACAAAATGATAAATTATTTATTGAAATCAAACCATGCTAGTTTAATGCCTAACATTTCCAAAAGAGAAGAAATTTGGAAAGCAAATTTTCAGGTAAGCAAATATTTCTTTACTTGTTTTTTTTTTTTTAAATAATAAATTTTATTTTTATATTCCCCATACAATTGCAGCCCCCCATTCTGACCCCAATCCCTCCCCTCCTGCCCCCGCCCCCCTAAAAGTGTCTCTGGTTCATAGTTTTTTGTTGATTTTGATTTTCACTTTCTTATAGTTATTCATTTTCCTGGTCCCTTATTTAAGTTTTCTAGATTCCTGCTATGAGTGAGACCATCCGGTATTTTTCTTTTTCTTTTTGGCTTATTTCGCTGAGCATGATCCCTTCCAGCGCCATCCATGTTGCTGCAAATTGCATGTGTTTATCTTTTTTGAATGCTGAGTAATATTCCATGGTATATATGTACCACATCTTCTTGATCCAGTCATCTATTTTTGGGTATTCGGGTTGTTTCCAAAGCTTAGCTATTGTAAATAGTGCTGCTATAAACATAGGGGTGCAGGTGTTCTTTGGAATTGATGTTTCTGTGTCCTTTGGGTAAATACCTAGGAGTGGAATTGCTGGATCATATGGAAGCTCTATGTTTAGTAGGTCCAGAAATTATTTCTTTACTTGTTTATGTAAAAATGCCTGATTAATCATTTGTCTTTGAACTGGTATGAATCCAGAAATGCTTCTTAAGGAAAATTTTGGCTTTGCCTACAGGGTCTCCTTACTCCAGTTGCATTACAGAGGAATGGCCAGAATCTTGTTCAGTCTCCTCAGTTGTTCCCTTAAGGTACTGATTTTACATCACCTCATTTGATTATTACTGCTTATGGATCCCCTTAAATTAGAAATATTTGTGTTTTAGTGTACCACCTTGAGGTAACTGTTGCTCAACAATCAGCTTCAAGCAGGGTTTGGCATCCCTTTTCTATAAAGGGCCAGATAGAAAATGTTTGGGCTTTGACAATCATATGGTTTCTTACAACTATTCAACTCTCTGTTGAGTTGCACAATAACTGCCATAGATTAAATATGTAAGCAAATAAGTATGGCTGTGTTCCAATAAAATTCTTAGGTATGGAGACTGGAATTTGATTCATAAAATTTCCATGTGTTATAAAACATTATTCTTTTTCTGATTTTCCCCCCCAACCATTAAAAGCAAAGAGAATTCCATGTTGCTGAAAGTCCTATTATTTGCCATAGAAAATGTAGAAAGGCCCTAGATGAATTTAACTGATAGGTGATAGAACTAAGATAAGATATTTTCCATTAAAAGATGGAAATACCATTCCTACCTTTGAAATAGGTGGTTAGAAAGATTTATGCAGTAGGCTGTAATTTGCAAACCTCTTAGGAAATTGAAGCTATGAGAAATGCTTCAAAGACATGACTGATAATTTGGGCAGAGATAGTTCTAAGTTCTAGCTAGGGGATCATGAGCAGCAGTGGTGTGCTGAAAGTTCCAGGTCTGGTCTTCACAAATTTGCCTAATTTCGGTGTTAAGCCAGTAAGATTTTCAGGGGTTTCTAATTCAATGCTGGCATTATCTTAATTAATATGTCACCATTTCTTCCATATGTTTTTGGTTTGATTCTTTACTAAATTGGACTTTCAAAATTGCATATTTTCATAGGCTTATTTTTGGTCTCATTTTGTTTTCATGTTTAACTGGCAGATGATAGAGTAGGTTACTTTCTGTGATTTAATTAATTACAGTTTGATGGCCATTCGCTTTCACTGAGATATGTTACAAGAAACTACAGAGATGTTGGGCCCCCAATGTGAAGCCCACCTGAGAAATTCCCTTGGAACTCAAGGTCAGGATAGGCTTATCTTTTCCTAAGGAATGTATTATGTTCTCTTATCAGCAAAGAGAATATCGTAGAATGTGCCCAATTGTGTTCCCTTTTCCCTTTTCCCTCAGGTTGCCAAGAAGCTCAGAGCCAAATTTTTGGCTCAACATTAATAGCTTTGTAGACCCTGTGGCCTACATATCTGCATTCTTAGTTTCCTTCTGGTCTTGACCTTCTATTCTGCTGTGTGTTTTCCTTGTTCCTGATTTTTTTGTTATTTTTATTTTTCAATTTTATTGCTTGTTTTCTTGTAAGCTTCCTTAGACCCTTGTAGAACAAGGTGTGGTAAATAAAAAATGGCTTCCGTCTATTAATATGTTACACCAAAAGCATTCTTTAAACATCAATTTAGTGACCTGGGCAATAGAACTTCAGATTCATGTGTGAGGCTTTCTCTTTAGTCATTATGTCTCATGGTTTGATGCAGGGATGGTTTAGCAATTATGGGAGCTGAAGACCTTCACATTTCTTCATTCTAATTTAAAAGAAAGAGATCCTATGTTACCAGAAGTCCCTACTATTTGCCATAGAAAATGTAGAAAGGTCCTTAATAAATCTGAGAGGTGGTAGAATAGGATAAACTATCTGTAATGTTTAAAAGTAGCAAAGAATGAATATGAAGAACATACAATGACCATTTCAAATCAATATGAAAAAGATAAGTTCAACAGAGAAATTATCAAAAGATATAAATAGGTTATTTTTGTAAAGATGTACTAGAAAATCTAACAAATGTATACACATGAACAAAAGCTGAAGTGTATCAGTAATCAGAGAATAGCAAATTTTAACAAGTTATCATTTCATATTCATCCAACTGGCAAAAATTTAAAAAGGTAAATAATAGTAAGTATTGTCAAGGATATGGGCAATGGAAACTGCCCATGTGTGGAAGTTTAGGTGGTGCACTCATATCAGAAAGTAAGCTGTTAAACTGTTACAGGGAAACCCTGATATAAAATGGGTTGCCTGACTATGGCTCCTCACCTATATGCTTAAAAGGCACTTTATAAGTAGACTCAACTGCAGGCACACACAAAAAGGTTAATAAAAGGTTTATTTACAAAAGAAGGGGGAATGAAGAAATGAATAGCTCAGAGAGAAGAGAGGGAGATAAATTCAAGAATGCGTCCTACCAGTTCTGCTGGAGCTGGAATCCCTATAGCTTGCTGAGAGCTGGCGAAAAGCCAAGAGATCCCCAAGGCCCACATGTCTGGTTATACACCAAACCTGGCTGCTTATCTCCACTCTTAGTTCCCAGCAATCCTCCCTTCGGTGGTGATGACATTATGGGATTTGTAGTGCTTGGTGTCTTAGATATCTTTGGTCTGGGGTGGGGGTGGGGTCCATAAAACCGGTGTTTGAGGAGTTCATTTGGAGCATCCTTTCCCCCCAACAAGAATAGTCAAAGTTCATTAATGTTTTTATGACCCCTTATAATTATATATTCTGGATACATTTTTCCATAAGTCTAGTAGGGGCTACACAAAAAAATTTTCATCATAGTCTAGTGATACAGGGCATTTGAGAATCTTGTGTGTATTTCTCAAAAGGAAGAATGAATAAAATATGTTGGATGCATACTTCTCAATAGTTCGAAGCAATATAGATGTACAGTATCATCTTGTGATTTAAAGTGTTCAATTAAAAATATATGAGTGATATCTTTTATAATACCATTCCATAAACTTAAAAACAGTCGCAAGGAATATAGCACAACATAATTTAAAGTCAATCAGAGGGGCCTCCCTGGTGGCGCAAGGGGTTAAGATGCAACCTATGAAGCTATCCACAGCCACTGTAGCACGAGTTCAATCCCTGGCCAGGGAGGTGACCCACATGGTGCAGCAGACCTCTCCTGATTCGCCCGCTGCTCCCCTCAGCAGGGTATTTCAGTCAATCCACCTGTTCTGTTCCCCACTCTGTCTCTGGAGAATCCTCTCACAACCCCACCAACACCTCTGGCCTGAACCCCAGTTCTTGTATGCATAAATATATAAATCTTAAAAATAAAAGTCAATTGGACCAAGTGGTTAATATAGCATTCCCATTGGACTATGTATGTATGTAGGAGGGATCATCTGCTATGAACTCAACTAGGAAGAATCATCTGCTATGAACTCAACTATCTGTATAGAAGTTAAAAAAAGGGACCTCTCCAGTTGCACAGTGGGTTGAGCGCAGCACTGTGAAGCTGTTCTGCAGCCTCTGCAGTGTGGGTTTGACTCCCGCCGGCCAGAGAGCGACCCACATGGCACAGCAGACCTCTCCTGTCTCTCCCACTGCTCCCCTCAGTAGTGTTTTCGGACTGTCTGCCTGTTCTGTTTCCCACTCTGTCTTTGGTGAATCCTCTCATCCTCCCATGCCTCTGACCTCTACCCCAGCTATTGTATAAATAAAAAATAAATCTAAAAAAAAAGTTAGAAAAGGAAGAGTATATCATCCTCTGGGGACTGTAATGTTGCCTTTATATGTTCTAAGATATCGAAGTCTAGTATGATAATTCACTGGTGGAGGCAGTGAATTGAGACTCACCTGGCTTTGATCTCAAAACAGCTTTGCATTTACCAGTATTTTGCCACAACTTGGAAGTAAAACTTTATTTAAAAAAATCTGTCTCAGTAAAGGAAACACCTCTAATTTTATTATTCATTCATTACAGGGCATGGTGGTTCAGAGCATGAACTCTGGCACCAGTTCCTGGAGTTGTCATTATTTATCTGTGTAACCTGGGGCAAGTTAATTAATCTGGCATACCTATCTATTCAGCTGAAACATGGGGATAATAGTGTGTGGGTCTGCTAATCCTAAGTGGCCACCATTTTTTGTTACCTGCAGTGCTGCATTCCTATATGTAAAGGCAGGATTGGATACAGAGCAGGTTTTCTGATCCCATGCAGACCGGGTGAAGGAGGAGTCAGAGTCCTCAGTGGTTTTTTGCAGGTCTTTTATTGGGGTTCAGCGGGTAAGTGGCAGGCAGGGTTGCTGGGGGTCTGGGAGGCCTCCCAGCCCCCAGCAAGTCTTCACTCTATCTGGGCTCTCTGGCGTTCGTTCTGCTGCTTCTCGGCTTCTCTTTTGGCTTCTACTTCGGCTTCTCCTGGCATCCCCGTGATGCCGCCCTTAAAAGCACAGTCTCAGCCCAGGTGTACCCATTCCAGGTGCCTGCGATCAGGCATACATTCAGGATCACAGGGTTCCCTCACCTATCCTGATGGCGGGAGGGTAGAAAAGCCTGATATTTTTCCTTACCCTATACTATACAAGGTTAGAACTGCTCAATCAGTCATAGGAGCCAAACCTTACAAGGTGCTTTTCAAATCAACCAAGAGCTTAATACTTGATCACTCTGGGAAAGCTATGCATCATGAGGTATGACCAGGAACGCCAGGGGGCTGAGGACCCGATGTATGACAAGGGACCCCAAAAGCTGATCAATGGACAGCCTTGTTGGTAAGATTGAAACCATGACTGGGGATCTAGGGCTTGATCTCAATTACAACACCAAGTCATCAAGGAGATGAGAAGTGCCTGGAGGGAGACTCACAACCCCCATGCTATAGATGACAGAGCACATTTTCTAGTTTCTCCCCTCCCTTTTTTTTGTCCTCCTTCCCCTCACAACTGATGCTGTATGATTATTCTATCAATGGAAAGGCCAGGATCTTGCTCTTTGGCAGCATCCTACATCCTACAGCTTTTTCCATGACTCTCTTTTGTCAGTGTGGTGTTGTCAACTCAACAATAGTGGTTCTTACCATTAACATAGGGTTATTCTGAGGATTTAATGAGCATTTTAAAGCACTTAGGATGACGCTTGGTATATAGTAAGTTTTTTACAAGTACTTATTAAATAATGAATATTAATTGAATATTGGAATATCTAATGAAAATATTAAAAATAAAAATAAAAATGGAGTCACCAAGTGTAGGGGCAGGACTGGACACAGTGCAGGTTCTCTAATCCCATGCAGACTGGGTAAAGGAGGAGTCAGAGTCCTCAGTGGTTTTTTGCAGGTCTTTTATTGGGGTTCACCAGGCATATGGCAGGCAGGGGTGCTGGCTGGGGGGCTGGGAGGCCCCCCCAGCAAGTCTTCGCTCTATCTGAACTCTCTGGAGTTCGTTCTGCTGCTTCTCGGCTTCTCTTTCGGCTTCAGCTTCTACTGCTGCTTTCTCGGCTTCTGGCGTCCCTGTGACGCCGCCCTTAAAAAAAGCACAGTCTTAGCGCAGGTGTACCCACTTCAGGTGCCCGCCATCAGGCATGCATTCAGGATCACAGGGTTCCCTCATCTATCCTGATGGCGGGAGGGCAGAAAAGCCTGATATTTTTTCTTACCCTACACCAAGTATGGGTAAAAACCAGAGCAGGAAGTCTGTAGAGAATTGGAACCAGGCATGTCCAGGCTCCTGAGCGTGCATAGTCATATTCACAGCTGAGAATAAAATCAACCTCCAGCCAAAGACCAGCCAGAATTGTAATTCTACCAATCACCACTTGACAAGCTTTTCATCAATCAGTACTGCACTGACTAAAAACCTCATTTGCATAAGATGAACCTGGCTGTGGATCATCCTGCCTTTTTAGTGTATATAAACATTTTCCACCCCAGAAAATTGGCACAGGTGCTTCTTTAAAAAAAAAAAAAAGATTTATTTTTATCTATTTATGCATACAAGAGCTGGGGTGTAGGCCAGAGATGCAGGAGGGTGAGAGGATCCACCAGAGACAGAGTGGGAAGCAGAACAGGCAGATCTACTGAAATACACTGCTGAAGGGCGCAGTGGGTGAGACAGCAGAGGTCTGCTGCACCATATATGGGTCAGCTCCCTGGCCAGGAATTGCACTAGTGCTGCAGTGGTTGGCAATAGCTTGATAATGCTCAGACTTTAACCCCTGCATCACCAGGAAGGCTCCCACATGCTTCTTGAGTCGGTTCAGACTCCCCCACCGCCCCAAACTAAGGTTTTTCATTGTTGTAATTTGATCAGGCAAACTGGAGCCATACACACTAAATGGGCAAGCACAAGCAAGGTACTAAGAAAACATCTCAGAAAGGAGGGTCTTTACCGCTCCTTTGGTCCCCTGGACCTGGGTTCCAGGATTTGAGTGCTTGCTTCACAGCTAGTCCCCAAGCTCCACATATTGCTTTCCCTGGTTCTTTGTTCTCTTCTCTCACGCTTGAGTCTGTCTTTATTCTCTGACAAATAGCCAAAGTACTAAAAGTTTCGGGACTTAGGGAGGTGCACTGGATTTTGAGATCCTATTCCTAGATTCTCCTAGTGTTAAATGCAAACCTGCAAATCTGCTCTTGCCAGACTCCTGGCTCTTAATATCTCACCTGGTGGTCCCACTTGCCCCTTCTCCTAATTGCTAGGTACTTTCCAGAACACCTCAGCAGGTCTGTCAAAAGATTCTGTTTTCATTATTCTTTCCCAGCACAGTAAGTGGTCCTTTCCAGTGGTTCAAGCCAGAAACCTAGGAGTTATCTTTAATTCCTTCCTCTTTTACCTAATTGAATCCATTGGCAAATTTTGTTAATTCTACCTTCAAAATATCTCTTGAATCTGCCCAGTTCTGTTAACTTCTGCTATAATTTCCAGGTCCAATTTACCACCATCTTGTGCTTGAACCCCCACCATAGCTTCCTACTGGTTTTCTGGCTTTTACTCTTGTCCCCAGCATTTTATTTGCCACGTGGTAACCATAAGGGTCTTAAAATTTTTTTAAATCATGTTCATTGAGGTAATGATTTGTGACACTGTGTATGTTTTAGGAGTAGAGATTCATACCTCTACAAATGTATGTTACCACACTACACCCACCACCAAAGCACCAATCATCTTCCACCCTAAACCACTGGCTCCCTCACTACTTTGCTCCCACCCTCCTTCCCCTTTTGATAGCCTCAGTTCTGATTTCAAGGGTTTGTTTTTGTCTGTTATTTTGGTTTGTTTTTTTATATTCCATATTCCAGAGAAGAGAGAAAACATTCAGTGAGAAGGGGCTATTAAAAATGCAAATTGATTATGTCTGATCTCTGCTCAAACGTTGTAATGACCTTCCATTGCCCTAAGAATTAGTGCTATTAAACCCTGGTTTAATTGATAGGAGTATGTTTTAAAATTGTTTTCTAACCCTTGGTTTGACCCGAGTTTTTGCTATGAAACTTTCAAAGTTAAAGGATCACAATTGCCACATTTAATTGTTTAATTTTCTTCTGCCACTAGATCATTTGCTCCTGAAATCAAATGGATGGGAAAGGGGAAGATTGAGGCATACAAGCAAGTGGCTTCAGCTCTGAGAGGCTGGTGTCTACAGGCTGCAAGCAGGTGAATACCCTCCTCAGCTCCCTGAGTCTTCTGTTTTGGGGGCAGGGATTTGTTCTTTTTTCCTTGGAACTAGAAGAGAACTGGAAAGTCTCTTCTAGTTCTGATCAGAAAAACTATCAAAGCCCAGCCCTGGGTCAAAAACAGGATGTGGGGGAACATGCAGAAGGGTACTGAGAAGTCAAGGCTGGGTCACCAACAGTACGAGAAACAAAGGTTGTTGCAGCTGGGGATGGTGGGAGCAGACCGGTGGGAATGAAGGTGAATATAAGTGGAAGCAGGAGATGGGTACAAAGGCCCAGGGTGGGCCCTCACCATGAAAAACACTAGAGATCTTAAAAACCCGATGGGGTTTACTGGAATTTCCCCCAAGTCACAGATTATTTTCTTTTTATTGACCAGTTTCTTTTTTTTTTAAAGATTTATTTATTTTTATGCAAGAACCGGGGTACAGGTCAGATGCGCAGGAGGGTGAGAGGACTCACTAGAGACAGAGTGGGGAAAAGAACAGGCAGACTGAAGAAATACACTGCTGAGGGGAGCAGCGGGCGAGACAGGAGAGGTCTGCTGCGCCATGTGGGATTCTTGCCAGCCGGCATCGAACCCCTGCTGCAGAGGCTGCGGACAGCTTCACAGTGTGGAGCTCAACCGCCTGCGCCACCAGGGAGGCCCGACCAGTTTCTTTTTCTGGTGAGCCCAATCATCAGAACACCTAGTCAGAATTTAATGCTCCCTTAAGGCTAATAGGTCTCATCTTATTAAAATCACCTGGAAACTAAAAAAAAAAAAAAAAGAAAAAAGAAAAAAGTAAAAAAGGATGCCCAGGGCCCACCAACCTCTGATCAATAGGATGAAGGTGAGGGTTTAAGGGGTCCGGTGGTGTGGGCTAAGTGGGATTGGTCTCAGGCCTATGTGATTTCTTTAGAGGGTCACTCTGTGTTCTCTTGTAGATTAAGAAGCACTGCTGTGAGTGCTCTTGCTCAAACAAGGTCAACCATAACATTTGATATAATTTTCAATTACAGATTACTAGATATTACTTTAGTGCAGTGTTTCTTGAACATGTGACTTTGAGACTCACCTGGGAGTCTTATTAAAAAGCAGATTTTATTTGCAGCAACATGGATGGAACTAGAAGGGATCATGCTCAGTGAAATAAGCCAGAAAGAAAAAGAAAAATACCAGATGATCCCACTTATAGCAGGAATGTAGAGGATCCAAATAAGGGATCAGGAAAAAACAACTAATTATAATAAAGTAAAAATCAAAATCAACAGGCAACTATAAACCAGAGACATTCTGCAGGGGGGGAGAGGGGAGTAGGATCAAAACAAAGGTGGGAAGAGCACAAGGGACCATGGTGATAGTTCACGGGTGCATGGGTGGTAGGAATTTCACGGGGACTATAACCAAGATGAAAATGTATACATTGTACAAAAATGAAAAATGATGTAAAAAATATATATGTGTGTATATATATCTGTGTGTGTGTATGTGTGTGTGTATATATATATATATATATATATATATATATATATATATATATCAGATTTTAGTTTCGGTGGTGGGAAATGTGTTCCAAGATGTGGAATTTCTCACAAGGTGTGACTTGGGAGCAGCTGGCTGAGGAGCACATTGAGTGCAAAGCTTCAGATCTGATTCTCGGGGTTACTACTGCTGGTAAGTAGTAGATTCAGAATTTGAATCTAGGTCATCTGATTCTAGAGATGGTGAGCTTAACCACCATGTGATACAACTTCAAGGGTAGGGGGGAGTATTTAGGATTTGTCTTGAAGCTGTGTTTTTGTATAACAAATACATCATTTTTACAATGATGTATATATATTTGAGATGGTTGCTGGAAGAGGTGATAAAAATGGAAATTACAGAGGGGCTTAAGCAAGTCTAAGAAAACCGATAAATACATCTGTCCATTCATTCTCCCCTCAAATAGTCACTAGTTTATCTACTCTCATAGTGTGTGACACATCAGGGAAATGGAGATGAGTCATACAGGAACTCACTTTCTTATATCTCAATAACAGTGTAACCTGCTGTGCTGCAATCGAGGTCCACTCCCGTGAGCACAGAGGGAGGAAGTGGCAGGGAAGGATTCACACGGAGGCTAAGCATCATGCACGTAATACAGGAACCATGGTGTTGGAGGGCAAGGAGAGCATCTTAAATGGTATAGCTGCAGGCACATGGGGGGTGTGATGTGTTTGTGTATTATTAAATCCCTGATACATTACACTGGAGTTTTATTGGAGACCCTAATAGAAATAATTAATGGTGTTTCAAAAGGTATCTGACAAACACCAGGGAAAATCTGGTTTCCTATCTCTAAGTAACATTAACAGTTTGCTATGCCAGCAGAGAGAGACTATGTTGGTTATGCTTTGGTGAATTAGTCAGAATAACTTACTTGTGCTTGCAATAAAAATAGCCCCAATTATCATCGGTGGCTAAAACAAGAATGGTTTATTTCTTGCTCACTCTTCGTATTCATTGTGGATTGGTATGTTGGTGGGTGGTGAATTCTTCTCCAGAGTTGTCTAGTGATATGGAGATTTTACCATCTTAAAATGTGATCTGCCTGTGCAATACTTCAAGGTTGATCAAAGCAGGAGAGGAGAAGCATGGAGTCAAGAATGGCCAGTGAATCCTTAATCCTGGAAGTGATGTACTTCATTTCTGCTCTAATTTTATTGGTTAGAAAGTATTACTTGGCCATGTCTAAGTTCAAGGGGATGGGAGAATTATAGTCTTTGTGTACGCTGAGTGGATAACAGATGAATCAAGGGGAATGTGACTAAGATTTGCGGTGCAATCTTTTCAACTCCACTTGTAAGTCGGAGATAAAAAGATTGTGCTTTTCACACACACTATGGAAAAAATGACTTCATTTCTATTAGTTATTGTTCTTTTTTTTTAAGATTTATTTTACTTATGCATACAAGAGCTGGGGTACAGGCCAGAGGTGCAGGGAGGGTGAGAGGATTCACCAGAGACAGAGTGAGGAGCAGAACAAGCAGTTCTACTGAAATACGCTGCTGAGGGGAGCAGCGAGTGAGACAGGGGAGGTCTGCTGTGCCATGTGGGTCACCTCCCTGGCCAGGGATTGAACTCGTGTTGTAGTGGCGGCTGATCACTGCATAGTGCTGAGATAATCCTTTGCACCACCAGGGAGGCCCTATTAGTTATTATTATTACTCTATTTTAATACACATGGGATTGCTGCCCATCAGATTTTATTTAAAAGTAGTAGCAAGAGCAGTCTTCATCAATATTAAAACAATTATTTTAAAGTGTTGGAATTAAACTACCAAGGCTATTAAACCACCAAGCAACTTGAATATGAATTCCAAACACCAACCACTATGATGATTGCATGACAAAAATAATTATAACTGAATAGTATACCCCTGTTGAGCACAGGAGCATGGGGGTAGCAAGAGCAGCTTCCATATGGTGGCTACCCCATCCCACCCCACCCAAGCTGGGTTATTGTGAGGGTCAGCAGCACAAATGCAGGCCTAGCAATACATTTTGAAGAAGTATTGTTTTTCGTGTATTGCCTTCAAAGTCTCTCACACATCACCATGCAGAAAATAGGATGCACTGTGCTTAGAAAATATGGGAAGGGATTGAGAAGGAGAAAGAATGAAATCCATGGGAAAAGAAAAAAAAAATGGTGGATTTGGTGGGACTGAAAAAATTATCTGAGAAAGAGGGAACTGCCCTATTTTTTCCCTTTTCTCCTCCTTGGTTGACTTTCCAAGAAATAAGGGAACCATTATTCTCCATCTTAGTTATGACCTTTGGACATCTGTCTACATCTGCACCATAAAATATGGTGGTCACTAGGCAAGATGGCTGTGGAACACTTGAAGTGTGGCTGGTGCAATTGAGGAATGGAATTTTCAATTTTATCAAATCTAACATTTTTCAATAGGCCAAGAATCTAAGTGGTAGGAGAGAGGGAGGTTGATCTAATTCCTGCTTTCTTAGTGGAGGTTTTTGTGCACATCACAACTAATTGATCTCCCATGCAGGAGTTGTTAAGGGTGAGGTGGTCAGTTCGAGGGAGGAGTAAAGTGGGGGAGCTAGCAGAGATTAGCCTGTGGAAATGCCTTCTCCCTTTGCATGTGCAGCACATGTTCCCATCACAAATGTGGAGTCCAGGGCACCAGATGATGCACAAAAACTTTGTAGACATAAAAATGGGAGTGATTACATGGATCTCAAACCTGTCCTATTCAAAGGGAAGCCTATGATTTTGGGTATGAGAGCAAAGGAAAGACAAATGAACCTAGTGTAGCATCATATCTTTCATGGGGCATCATACCAATTTCTTTGTAATATATTTGGATAATAAAATCTTTATTGTGCTTGAAATTCTTATTGAAAATATAATGAACTTTAGTTTGCACATTTGCAGCCTTTCCTTCCTCAAATCATTCTTTTGCAAGAAACCATTTTTTCTTTCCTGATCGTAATTATTTAATGAAAGACACGAGCAGTTATTGAAAAGAAGCGAATGTCACCCACATTAATCCAGTGACTCCTGTGTGCTGGTGCCATGCTAAAAATGAATGGTAATTTGCAATACTATTTTTTTTTTTTTTAACAAAATGACTTAGCTCTAGAGTCCCTGTGAGGGTGTGTCCTGGAAGTCCTATACATGTTTCTACCTTTGTCTACTCTTCATTTTGGAAAATATCTGTTTTTGCTACACGATAGTAAAAACTAGAGCTCATATTAAACAATTTAATGAGCCAAAGTGCTCAGACCTCACGAAGCTCGACTAACTGCCCCAATCCTGGAGCAGAGGCCCATACAGAGTACTATGGTGAGATGCTTGCATTTTATTCTTGTTCTAAAGGTGAAGGCAAAAGAGTGAAGAAAGTAGGAAAGCAGTACGATTCCAACATAATTGGGCTTTTAAAAGGTAGAATTTTTTACTTCTGAATTAAAACTATAATTCATTTTAAATAAACTTA